GGCGGCCAGCCAGTCGCTGACGGATGTCGCCAAGTACTCCGTGGGGCGTCTCCGGCCGCACTTTCTGGCCGTTTGCAAGCCGCGGTGGGATCGCATCAACTGCAAAGCTGGAGGATACGTGGAGAACTTCACCTGTACAGGCGATAAGTTCCTGGTGGATGAAGCCAGGTATAAACATGACTCCGCTGACCATTTGTTAGTTTTTTTTGTACTTAAAGCACCGTAATAAGTTTATAAAAATAAGAACGGCAATAAATTAAGAGTCATTCATTTTTATTCTTATGAACATAGTATGAACTGTGAATCAAACATTAGGAATATACTTTATTATTTAAAAAAATCAAAGTTGTAATTTTATTCACATACAAAGGGTAGAAATAAAATTCGAATATTGTTGTCCAAAAAAAAGCATATTCAGTATCCGGTTTTTCCTCCAAAGTTGTTCTTTTCTTCATTTTCAGCCAAAATACAAAATATTCATTTTTTTTTTTAAATAAAAATGTAGAAAATCTCACTATATTTGGAGATGCATGCTTTTTGTTGGACTGTGACGATATATAAAAATAATTATTATTGGTCCAAATATTCTCATGCATTTAGTTTATGCAGAGGCAGAAAAGAGGCAAAACATTTACTTTGAAGTCCCAAATAACCCTCTTAGGATTTTTCAAAAAAATATACATATATTGTACTGTATGTGTGTGTTAGTGTACTCCATATATATATATATATATATATATATATATATATACACGTTACTAAATTATTAAAGACTCAGAATTCCAAATCAAGCATTTTTAAATATGACATTTTTGTTGACTTTTTTGACTTTTGCAGGCTGTCCTTCTACTCTGGTCATTCGTCGTTCTCGATGTACTGCATGTTGTTTCTTGTTGTAAGTAAAATCTTTTTTGTATTTGAAACAAGATAATCCTCGATAACCCTTGGACAAAATTGGAAAAAGATCCAGTGTTGGGGACCACTGATCTACTATATAAAATTGAAATGACAAAATCATAACGTTGTAACAGGTGATATGCTAACCTATAGCCAAAAAAAAAAAAAAAAAAAAAAAAGCAATCTGAATAGCAGTAAGATAGTCCGATTTGAAAATGAGTTAAATCTGTTGCTGCGTCTTCTATCTTGTGAAATTGTTGTCCCATTTGTGAATTTGAATGACAAACAGTGGCTTGTCATTTTCCTCGCAGTTTACTTTATTGTAAGAATAAATTGGAACTTCAAAAGTCTATTTGGCAATAAGCAAGTACTGTATTAGCTTACTAAGTGATTTTTGACTTATTGTTTCATATAAAACACAACTGTCGGCTTTACTGTATTTTTATTTGAAATCATTTTATTTTTCACTGTTTTCATGAAATCATGATTTATAAACTGTTTATTTACATTTTATTGTGTCATTGCGTGACGGATCTCGGTCGCTGAATGAATGCGGTTTGTAAATGAAGGCATCACTGTCAATCTAATTGACAGCATCTATATCTGGATATCTTAAAGCAATGAAATCATTTTCTGCCGTTGCCAGCTGTACATCCAAGCCAGGCTGAAGGCCAAGTGGGTGAGGCTGCTGCGACCCACTGTGCAGTTCTTCCTGCTCGCCACCGCCGTCTACGTGGGTCTGTCCCGCGTGTCCGACTACAAGCACCACTGGACCGACGTGCTCGCCGGCCTCCTGCAGGGCGGCGCTGTGGCCTCCTTCACTGTGAGTTCTGACCCCTTGGCGTTTTACTTTGGTACCTAAGCAGGGGTGTCGACAGATTTTTTTTTTTTCTCTGCTACGACCAGAGAGGAACACCAAGCTCCGTCCCTGTACTTCATAATCTGCACGGGAGTAGAATCAGCACTTGTGTCTTTTTCTACACAAGTATCTTCTTGAATTCAGAGTCTAAGTACTTTTGGGTCTACCTGCAGGTGTTCTGCGTGTCCAACTTCTTCCAGCAGCCCCTCGAGGTGGGCGTGTCCCAGGAGGACGGAGGCCAGCACACCAGTTTACATGAGAACCCACCCAATTCCAACCACTACGGCAGCACTGACTGAACCACCTCAAAGAATCACCCCGGCAGGAGGAGCGATTGGGTAGGGGTGGCAGCACATGCACTTTACTGTGTTACCAAGAAATTTTCGGCTCGATGTGAGCACGTTGCCGAGCGGGAGGGACTTTTTACAACAGTGTGCCATGGGGTGGATATATGCCGTGTGTCACGGAGGAATGAAATTCCATTTGCTGTGAACATAATGGGAGGCTTGTGTGCTCGCTGCGAGCAGCCTTGTAATGGAGAGTCTGGCACCTTGAAAAACCTCCACTGTCCTGAAAGGAGACACAGGTACTGGACGACATACAGAAAAATGCAGGGATGTTCGGTTTTTGGGTGACGTTTCAGGATGGACTGAAAATGCACTATAACAGTTGTTTGATCAATGGGTGGACCAATACAGGAGAAATCGACTCAGCCCTGCGTGAATAATGAAAATCCGTCAACATTTGACACCATCCATAAATATATACCGTATTTTCCGCACTAAAAGGCGCACCTAAAAGCCTTATATTTTCTTAAAAGCTCACAGCGCGCCTTAAAATCCGATGCGCCTTGTGTATGGTCATTACGGTAATATTTCGACCCCAAAATGGCTCCTTGCTCGAGACATGCTGACAACGCAGAGTTCAAGCTTAAGGAGATCGGTTACGCAGTTGAACATGGAAATAGAGCAGCGGCAAGAGAGTTCAACGTTAACGAGTCAATGTTATTGCTTGCTGTTGGTTAAGTGAACTGTGTCGCTGCTTTATTAAATAAGTTTTACTGACATATGATCGTTCTGTTGGCATTTCATTGAGCGTGGCTCTATCTAGTGGATGCATTGTAGATTGCGTCTTATACTGCGGTGCGCCCAAGTTATGAAAAAAATTACAAAATAGGCCATTCATTGGAGGTGCGCCTCATAATCCAGTGCGCCTTTTAGTGTGGAAAATACGGTAACTATAGATGCCACAAGATGGTGAAAAAGACGGAGACGATACTGAAGCATCAACACCATTCATCTAGCGCGTACGATACTCAGTCATTAAACGATGTTGCATACGCAACTGTCGTCAGTAATTAAATTATTCTTCAGAAAGAAACCACCTTCACAAGCTCATCAAAAGTGTCTGCTCGTATACTTACCTAAATACCAGTAATAAGAATACGTTGGCAAACAAATATGTAAATGCAACTCATTAAAGTCATCTTTTACCATTTACACGTAATAGTAAATGTTAGGGCATAATACAGGCAAAGTTACTAGTATCTGCCATTGAGAAAGAAGTCGCAACAGCAAGTTGTACAAAAAGTGTAGACCAGAAGAATGTGTACCGGGATTTCAAAAGATAAGGGAAGGTCAAGTTAAGTTCACCTGAAAAAGTTATTGTGCATTTTAGGTTTTTCCTGAAATTTCACTTGAAAGCTGACTCGGTTTTTATGAGAAATGCGTCATGACTTTTTTTTCTCCCATAATATAAAACCAATGTCTTGTATCATAATAGCATGTCTGTGACGTGCTTTTGTTAAAATATGTACCACCTAAGACCTAGAATAGCATTATTTGTGCACATTATTAATCATGTTGCTGAAAATAGCTTGTTTTAGGACCACGGGGGCGGATTTCAACTCATGGATGTACTGTGTGTGTGTATGTGCCACATGAACACATCGCCAAACACAAACACCGCCACGCCTGTGCCTCCAGCTTGTCGACAACAAAGTGCTGCTTATCGGAAGCAAACTATTAGCTGACGCAAATTTCTGCATTCCAAAAAAAAAAAAAAACAATCAAACAAACAAACAAAAAAAACTTAGTGCAGCTTTGCTTACCTCGCACAAAGCCACCACTGGCTAAAAGAACCACATCATATTAATTTCACACTTGATGGGTGGGCGCATGCAGTGTGAAATGGATATATTTTGTATTCATTCATTCATTGCCTTTTGTTGTGGGCCAGTGCCAACTGTGAAACACTCAAAGTCGTGTGCATGTGCGTGTGTGTGTTTTCTTTTTCATTTTATTCAAACTTACCCAAATCAGAGCTGTCCAAACTTAACAAAGATATAAATCCTCTGAGGAACGTACTAAATTCATGAAAATAATGATGACCTTCTTTATTATGATACACCAAAAGTATTTTGATGTTGATTTATTTGATATTTGTGTTTGTTATACTTGTTTTTCCGAGGTTTTATTTGTTTTTAAGAATTACTAGGCAGGCCAAATCAAACGCTCCCACGGGGCCATGACTGGTACACGCACCATAGGTTCCTCATCCCTGATATGACCAGTGCTGTTGAAAATATAAGAAATAAAACAAGTGAATTTTGCCTTTTTTTGGTTTGTTTTGTGGGTTTTTTTTTTGGTCTGCCTTTTTTTAGGAGGATGTGGGATTTGCAAGCAAGCCAACTATGTTTTTGCCTTCCTCTTTTTTTCTTTTTTTTTTGCATGGATGCCCCACTTTAATGTTTCATTTAATCAAACAAACGCAATGTATCGACATGTCCAGTGAATGCATCTTGCCGACTTGTACTGAAACTACCTTATCTTTAACGTGCAAACGTGCAACAATTGCTTCTGAGCGTTCAGATCAGTGAGCCCAACCACAGAAACCACTTTGAAATCCTTGTTCACTCTCATGAGAGAGTATCGGTGGGTTCAGTGGATGATCAACATGTCGCCTTAGGTGCACTTTTTTAGTCGACCAGACGGAGCAACGGTGGTTGTCTATGCGTCACCAAGAGAGTCATCATCTGTCAGCTATGCAGCAAAACATGCAGTTAAAGTCGTTGGAAAACGACTGTTGTGAAAATCGATTGGGCAACAAATGATGCAAACGCACACCTGCGTAACTGCTGAGCGTTTGCATCACCACGTTGCAGACAAACAAAAGCGAAAACCTCACGCACTCACTAGAACTAAAATAAACGACTTTGATAATGCCTGACAGGAAACAAGAAAGTGTTTGTCGAATTGTGTAGTTAATAATCCATTTAAACAACCGTGTTCTTGTACTGTAACAATCTAAATGCTTTATTCATTATCAATCAAACAAAGCCTTTCCAATGATGTTTGTGTTTATTTTATGAGTAGACATTTTTAGTATTGATAAAAGTTAGATGGAAGGTGGATGGAATTTTTTTCTTTAAAAGTCCTTTCTTAACAATCAGTGTGTGAACTGAGGGATTGGGGCTGGTGTGGCTGCTTTTTTATTTTTAAGTCTGACAAGAATTTTTTTAAAGATAATGATAAGAACAACTAATATGTGTACTATGAGTTTGGGCGGAAAAGATTTCTCAAATTTGACCACCAGCATATGGACACAGTGTGGAAATTGTAGAACTCGAAGAAAGCGACAATTTCTCACGTGCGCACTCCGAGAGAGAGTGTGTCGTGTTTTTTTTTATTTGCACCACAAAAAAAAAACACTCGTGCCAAACGAAGCCCGCCGAAAGTAAGTTTCCATAGAAACAAGCAGACTAAAATGGCGGTCCTTAAAGGGACTGCAATTATTTCTACCCCGTTACCAAATAATCGTGAACTCTCTGACAAGCATATGAACATTGCATTCACACATTTGCAGTTGGTGGTGAATTATGTACATAGAAGTCACTACACGGGTGTAGAAATGTACTGCATCATACTGAGAGCTAAGTGTAATATTCGGACTGCCTTGTACTTGAATGAGGTCACTGTAATACTGCTCTGACCAGTCGGTGTGTATTTGAATTGGAACAGCTCAATGACCAACAGCATTGAGGAGTGAGGCACAATTTCCATTGCCTTCATGAAAGAGATGAACATAACGGCTCACCTTTCCATAGGTACCATTTCCCAGAACCTTCAGCAGCTCAAAGCACTCAAGTCCGATTTGTTCGGTTCCCTTGTTCACGCTCTTCTCGGAAATCTCAAATTTCTCACAGTCATCTTCTACGTTACTGGTAAAATAAAAATAAAAAAGGAGGGCGGGGCGGAGAAATTAAAAACAAATTACATTGCGGCAGAATTACCACTGGATATGTGCTAGGATTGGCTGGCGTTCCTTGCGGATAGAACAGGTAGACTAAAGTGCCTTTGCCTGGCTCGAAAGGTCATTACACTCATGTGAACACATTTTCTCAAATCTAGGTTAGTGATCCGATCAAATAATCTTACCTTTTAAATTAAAAAAAGCAAATAATAGCAAACAATGAACACGTTGTAATTCTTGCGCAGCTTTAATTATACAGGTTGAGGCATTTCCTTTTGTACCAGTTGATGCTCACGTTTCAAAACCGCTGCATCGGTCCACGTGTTTGCTGATCTGAACCTGAAAATAAAGAAAATAGGAACCCTTTCAGAAAATGTGAACATTTTTAAAAAGGCAAGGCAGGACTACGATGTGACTTTTCATGGGAGGATGGAAACTGGAAAACGTGCCTCGGGCTGAGCTGTGCACCATTTGTTTTGGTCTTTTGTGTGGAAACAGTAACAGTAGTCATATTATAGTCGTTCAGGGCAAAGAGTTGTTAGAAATAGTGTGTTGGTAAACTGTTTGCAGGAATGACAATGTTGACGTACCGAAACATTGATGACTTCATTTTTGTCAAATGTATATTCAAAGTTTAACTTGACAAGGTGCTAATAGTGCTCACCAGGTATACATGGATGCTCATATTTTGCACTGTAACTACTTTGTGTTGGGTGATGGGTGTCCTGGGGGTCAGGGACATGGGAGGGATGGATGAGTTTGTCTTTGTGAAAACATTTTTTTTCTATTTCACAGACAATACTGTGACTAGAGCGCTCTTCCCTCACTTCAACATAGTTCCTTGGCCTTAAAATGGCCTCAAAGAAACTCTGAATTTTTGTATTAGACATGGCTTTGGCTGAGCGCAAAAACAGCAAGTAGGTGAGTTTATTCCAGCAAATTATACAGTGGTGGTTCCCCCCTGAAAATCTACAAATTGCAAATACTGTGAAGAGGTGGGGGGGACTGCATACTTTACAGACACAACATTATTGTCAGTTGCTTACTGTCACGAAAAGCACTGGTAATATGGCTTTACAAAAATAACAATTTTTGCCTGACGACATCGAAGAGGCATCCATTTTAACGATATGTTAATTTTGCCGGGTGTGGAAATTGTAGAACTCGAAGAAAGCGACAATTTCTCACGTGCGCACTCCGAGAGAGAGTGTGTCGTGTTTTTTTATTAGCACACCAAAAAAAACACTCGCGCCAAAACGAAGCCCGCCGAAAGTAAGTTTCCATAGAAACAAGCAGACTAAAATGGCGGTCCTTAAAGGGACTGCAATTATTTCTACCCCGTTACCAAATAATCGTGAACTCTCTGACAAGCATATGAACATTGCATTCACACATTTGCAGTTGGTGGTGAATTATGTACACAGAAGTCACTACAACAGGCTTTATGTTGACGTAGCCACTTTGGAACAACTAGTGCGGTAATTCTTTCACATCCCATTAAAAGCAAGCCACCTTCATGCATGCCACACTTTTGACAATCAACGCTGTCGTGTATTCCAGTGAATGTGTAGCCTGGTGACTAAGCTTTGACTTATTCACCACTCAATTGCAGGCGTCATGTCGTCACAGGCTTTATGTTGACGTAGCCACTTTGGAACAACTAGTGCGGTAATTCTTTCACATCCCATTAAAAGCAAGCCACCTTCATGCATGCCACACTTTTGACAATCAACGCTGTCGTGTATTCCAGTGAATGTGTAGCCTGGTGACTAAGCTTTGACTTATTCACCACTCAATTGCAGGCGTCATGTCGTTGTTGCTCAATCGTGTTGGCCCAGTGGAACTGCTAATTAAATGTAAGCGCTGAATGGTTGAGATGGTTACCAAGTGCTGCGTGAGACGACTCATTCAGTGCAGATAAAGCATCTGTGTGGTCATGTGCTGCTGCTACTTGGGAGATCTCGCCTGGTGTTACAATTGCAGCCCTCATGAACGCAGCTCCAGTCACTCAATGCCACATGACTCACTTCATTCCTGGCAGGCAGACATTGATGGCGATAGGTCCCAATCCATCATGCAACTGAAGCATTAATTTGTTTTTTTTTAAATTGTCATTCATTGCAATGAATGTACAGTATTGTGAAACACTTGGTTGATTGGTTCAAATTTAAGAAGTGAAACTCACTTTTTCGCTCATACCATACATGGGGCAACTCCAAAATCCATCTCAAATTGGAATACTGTATTAGCTATTTCTAATATAGAAAACATGCAGTAATTGTCCTTCCGAGAGTATTTTCCTGAGTTTGAAATATGCCTTTCACTTTAATTGAACTTTTCTAGGATATTCAATCACGATTTACCCACTCGATAAATGTAAACGTGTAACTATGTGGCCATTGTGTATTAATCCCTTATGATTCATATTTTCCTTTTAAAATGTATTTTTAAATTCTAAATCACGAGGACTGATTTAACTTATCCATGGCCTGAAATGGTTGTACGTGTGCTGCCACCTGCTGGACATTATGATGCCAAAGCGCGGTAACCTACCAGCAAGCAAGTTTGTGCATTTAAAAGAAATTTGTACATATAGTAGTCACGAAGACTATTGTACATGAAATAACTTTTGTGTCATGTGCTCAAGAGATAATACGAAACCACTTACATTTGTTACACAATTTATTCTCATCATATTAATAAACATTTGACTCCAACCTGACATGGGTTCTGACATACTTAGGAGCAAAAAGAGCCAAACACACAACCTGACACTTGCTCCCCCCCTTCAATTACTACAGTGAACAGCATGACTCTTAACTAATGTGCTGAAATGATCCACGTGTATTCTAGATTTCGTCTGATCCAATCAGAATACATTTACAGCTGGGCAGGCTTGTAGATTTTTATTGGGACTAACCTGTACATGGAGGTTTTGGCGTTCAGCGTGTTCACATACATAATGGTAGGGGGCACTGAAGATCAACAGCAAGTGCTGGACCTGCTTTACTCAAAACTGGACAGGAAGTTCAGAACTATCTGCTTGAGTTTGGCATCGGATGCCTCCGAGATCTTGCCGTCAGCCCTGAAAGGTTAATAATATTGAAGTTGGAAAGTTTTCAATGACAAGTAATAAAAATGCTCCATTTGGAACAAAAGGGATCTTACTTAATTGCAGCGAGCAGATCTTGGTGCTGGCTGAGAATGTGCTGCAGGAAAGCCTTCTCGAACTTTGTGATCTTGCTGGGCTCCATTTTGTCCAGGTGCCCCCTGACGCCGGCGTAGATGACCGTCACCTGCTCCTCGATGGCCATGGGAGCTAGAGGAGGAAGGAGAGCCGTGAGGGGTCCGATTGAACTCCAAAAGGCAGATAGAGTGTCTCATTTGGCTAATACTCACAGTACTGTCCCTGCTTGAGCAGCTCCGTCAGCCTGACGCCCCTGTTGAGGAGCTGCTGGGTGGCGGCATCCAGATCGGAGCCAAACTGGGCGAAAGCGGCAACCTCGCGGTACTGAGCCAGTTCCAGCTTCATGGTGCCAGCAACCTACAATGTTTAGGGGAGGGGGGGCGGGGGTGTTAAAAAAACATATACTTACAATTTTCATTTCATTTAAAACAAAAACACATTTCTCTAATTCTGGCACAATTAAGCCAAAAAGACACGAAAAGGCCCATGACTTGTATACTATTCAATCCATTTTAAATTAAAATCTGACACACACCTCTGTATGAGGACCAAAAGTCCAAAGGGAGTGGGGGTGGGTGGGGGGACTGTAACCTAATGGTTGTGATATCAGTGTACACGACGCCCTGGATTTACCACGAGGTATATGAACAATTCTTTTCCTTTCGGCATTTCCCTTCAGGGGTCGCCACAGCGAATCAGTTGCCTAATATCAATAAGTTCTTTTAAAATATGGACTTGTTTCATGCAAGGGAAAAAAAAAAACTAATTAAAAAAAAAAATCCATATTTTTCTAATTAAATCAAGATTTTAAAAATCCTGAATTAAAAAAAAAAATCTGATTTTTATAACTTGTGTTGAAAAAAAACAATCCTTACTCCTAAATGACAACCATCAAATTTTTTCATGACGTTAGAAAAGTGTGAAGTAACCTGCTTCATGGCTCTGGTCTGGGCAGCAGAACCCACTCGGGACACAGACAGACCCACGTTAATAGCAGGCCGGATACCCTTGTAGAACAGCTCCGTCTCCAAGAAGATCTACGGCCGAAAAGAGACAAACATTAACTTGGGGCCCAACAAAAGATGACATGAAATCACCAAGACAGACCTGTCCATCAGTGATGGAGATGACATTGGTGGGAATGTAGGCAGACACGTCGCCGGCCTGGGTCTCGATGACCGGCAGAGCGGTGAGGGAGCCGCCGCCGAAGTTGTCGTTCATCTTGGCGGCTCTCTCCAGCAGGCGCGAGTGCAGGTAGAAGACGTCGCCAGGGTAAGCCTCGCGACCGGGGGGACGACGCAGCAGCAGGGACATCTGACGGTAGGCTACGGCCTAAGAAAGACCCAAAAAGTTGTAGAACCACGGTTCTGAAGAACTCCAAAACTATTTTATCATCATCCGCTCACCTGCTTGGACAGATCATCATAGATGATGAGGGCGTGCTTGCCGTTGTCGCGGAAGTACTCGCCCATGGAGCAGCCCGAGTACGGGGCCAGGTACTGCAGGGGCGCGGCATCCGAGGCGGTGGCCGACACCACGATGGTGTACTTCATGGCGTCGGCATCCGTCAGCCTCTTCACCAGCTGGGCCACGGTGGACCTCTTCTGGCCGATGGCCACGTAGATGCAGTACAGCTTCTTCTTTTCATCAGTACCCTCGTTGAAGCGTTTCTGGTTGATGATGGTGTCGATGGCAATGGCGGTTTTGCTGTGGAGGGGAGGTAGTCATCATATTTTGTTCCCCTAATACATGCAATTAGGGATGGGCTAAAGAACATTTCATCAATCTAATAGATACCAACAGTTAAGGTGAATAGCTGACTTTCCAAAGACAAAGCCATGGAATTATCTGTTTAATGTCGTGAAAAAAGTCAGGTCACTTTATTCTTAAAATATCCATTTTTACATTTCTGCTGTCAAACCCAAAAGCAATCATTAACGAATGACGGAAATGTATTCGATGAAATGCATTTTAAGGCTACTCACCCAGTCTGCCTGTCGCCAATGATGAGCTCACGCTGGCCTCTGCCAATGGGCACCAGGCTGTCCACAGCCTTGATGCCAGTCTGCATCGGCTCCCTCACAGAAATACGGGGGATGATACCTGGAGCCTTCAGACCAACACGCCTACGCGTCTTGGAACCCAGAGGACCCTGTGGAAAAGCAAAAGCCCCACTGAAAACCATCTTTTTACAATTTATTATCACTAGATGACTATTCAGTGGCTTTATTGACCTTTCCATCAATGGCGTTTCCCAGAGCGTCCACAACACGGCCGAGCAGCTCCTCACCAACGGGAACGTCCACGATGGCGCCAGTCCTCTTCACGATGTCGCCCTCCTTGATAAGCTTGTCGTTACCAAACACCACCACACCAACATTATCGGGCTCCAAGTTCAGAGACATTCCCTGGTGGGCAAGAACCACACTGGATGTATTAAAATGTCTACAATGTAGAGCGGTGACAGTGTTAAGATCTTTATTTTCATTGCCGAATGTATTATGCAGGATGCAATTCCATGTATTGCTTGCGTTTGTTATATACATGGGAAAAGGATCTTAAAACAAATAATTGCCAATCCCAATATTGACAGGGAGAGCTGGGAAAAGCTAGTTTTTTTTTCAAAATTGTCAAGCCCTACTCCTCCATCAATGAAGTGCTCAGACTTTTTGTGACATAGTTTTTTTTTCAAAATTGTCAAGCCCTACTCCTCCATCAATGAAGTGCCCAGACTTTTTGTGACATTGTTTAGTGGTGCACCTTGACATCAGACCATACACCCTGGCGATACCGTCACCGATGGACAGCACGCGGCCGGTCTCCTCCAGGTCGGCAGAAGTGTCTGCTCCCATGATCTTCTCCTCCAGGATTGAAGACACCTCAGCCGTGCCTTTTTGAAGCAAAGTCGAGACTCATCATCATGGTAATTGTGGCTAAACATTACTTGTGTTGGTGCCACTTCAACTCAATTTTACTTATAGAGCACTTGGAAAAACAACCATTGGTGCATAAAAAGTGCTGTACATTGAGTACTCCTCCAGGATTGAAGACACCTCAGCCGTGCCTTTTCGAAGCAAAGTCGAGACTCATCATCATGGTAATTGTAGCTTAACATTACTTGTGTTGGTGCCACTTAAACTCAATTTTACTTATAGAGCACTTGAAAAACAACCATCGGTGCATAAAAAGTGCTGTACATTGAGTAAAATCTTCAAAACAAGGCATCGGCTATGACTTGGTGATTAAAATTGATTCATTATCAATCATAACGATTCATGATGCTAAATTTTAAGCCAATCAAAATACTGCTGTAAGGATTATTGTTGATGTGCATATTTTGACTAAATAATTATTTTCACAGAATCTGCAATGAAAAATAATCTAAAAAAAGTTGATGCTGTGGGGAAAAACCGTTTAAAAGCTTTTATTTTGGAGAACTAAAAATCCCACCAAGGGAGAGGTGGTGTACAAAAAGTAAATGTTTTGAATATTGCCATTAAAATTTGCTTTTTCTATTAGAAAGGGGAGACAACAAACAAAAAGCAGACTTGGGGAGGGTTAAAATAGATTTGAACTCCCAGTAGGCTAACAGCATCAATTTAAGGTGTTTAAGTTTCCATTAGGTCAAAAAAAAGAACTTGAAAAGTAATATTTTTTTTCCAGATTTTGTAGTTATTGTTATATTTCCTACCAGTCTTCTGTAGCCATGGTCTGTGCATGTGGAGATGATTGACCCCAACGCAGGCGGCTGGCACAGCCTTGGACACCTACGATTAAAATGATCGATAGTTATTATATTGTCAATAATTATCATGCTCATGACGTTGCAACTATGCATTACAAATCATGCATGTTAAATGAGGAAGGTGCAACGCGGTTTCAGTCCTGTCGGCTGCTGTCAGGCGAGCTGACCTTCAAAGCGTGGTTAAATGAGTTGCTAACGAGCAGCTACGTTAGCTCGCGTGCTAATACCAGCACGGCGCACAGGCGGTGTCACAAGGGCAACATCGACTAAACCAACACAATTGCAACATACGGAGCAACAGACAAAAATGAAGTTTAAAATGCACGCAGGAAGTATTTTAGAAGGCATTTTGCAGTGCAAGTCGGGTTAGCGCGGGGCCTGCTGCGTTGACATATTCGGCGTTACCCTTCCCACGGACGAAGTTTACGCATTCATTAAATGAAGCAATAGGGAAAACATTAAAGCGAAATTGATTTTTTTAAATGAAGTACTTACTAATCCGGCCCTTCTAGGCAGGGTCCTGGCCAACGCTGCTACAACTCGCACGGATAACATTTTACTTGCTTGGTACGAATGACTTGTCCTCCACCACTGACGGCTTCGACCTGGCTGAGGGAGAATGTAATGGCTGAATGAACTCTTCTTCTATTTATCTGTAAACTCCGCCTCCATTTGACCAACTCCGCTCTATACCGCCACCTGTCGCTGCAGATAACGAACTGCATGCAACGTCAGCAAGGTCAGAGAAGCTTTGTGCCGAGTTCCACCCTGTGAGGGACGGATGGATGCTTTTTACAATACCGCATGTGTGCCTTTGTCCATGTTTTCTTTTTGGGAAAACTAAATTAAACGAGAATTGGTAAGTCAGAACACACGTTCAGTGGATCATCACAATTTTATACCGAATTTATCCAAAAGGGTAACTTAAAATTTCATCTGTGCTGTCTGTTGCACATACAGCGCATTTGACAATAAAGTTGTATTTGACTTGAAAAATATGTATGAATGCTCTTAATCCCTTGCATAGCTGCAAATTAACAAAATACATGCAAAATACTGATATCATGATGAAGCATATTGTTGATGCTGTTTTTTTATACTCCTAATGTTATGATAGAGGATTTTAAATCTTGTACTGTATATCCATTAAGAGGAAATAACTATTAATTCTCAAAAATATTGAACATTGGTTTTGAAATGTAAAAATATTTATATATATTTTTGAAAAATTAAAAATATAACAGACGGAGGCTCTGTTCACAAAAATTGCACTAAAGCAAATTAAAAATAAAATATTTTGTACAAAGATAGGCAGTCACTAATACCTTCTTCCCCCACCCCTCAAAAGGCTGGTTGCAAAGGTGCAACCACTTTTTTTTAGATGTACCATTGAGAAATTAGAAATTGATGTGGCGGCCATGACACGCTCTTCTTCACAATTCCCACCTCGGGTTTGGAGGCGCTGCTAAGCGATGACCTTTTTATTTTCAAAAATGAATCGAGAGCAACCCCAGATGTGGGCGAGGGTTGCATGCGGCCCGCTGGCCGCCCATTGTAGCTGTTCTAGGTCTCTCGAGGTCACGCAGCAGGGAAACAGCGCCCCCCTTTGCCGGCTCCGCAGAAGGACACGTCTGCTTTTGTCACTCATCACCAGGCGGGCAGTCGAGTCCATCGACTGCAGGCATAGACACGGAGCTCCAGTACAGTACAGCAGTATAATCAGTCAGTTAGCGAAACAGACGCTTCAGTTACTCGGCCCGCGCGCTGCTAGCCAGCCCAGCCGCCTGAATGTAGATCCGCATGGGCTACTACAACCATCGCACTCTCTCTCTCCAAATAAGCCAGCGGAGTCGTAAAACAAGGATCACAGGATGGTGTTAGTGCATGTCGGATACCTGGTTCTCCCCGTATTTGGCTCAGTCAGAAACAGAGGTAGGTCGTGGTTTGTTGGTAAGCACGCTAAAACGTGTTCCCTGTTTATCTTAATATTCACTGCAGCTGTTGGCTAGTTAGCTCCCAACTTAGCCGCTGGCTTAGCTCGCGTCAGCTAGCTCGTCGTTTCCGCTCAAACTGCTCGCCAAATGCAATTTGGCGTTTTTGTTTTTTGCTTTGCTCGTAAATGACCGTAAACCATCACATGACATGTTTTTTGGCGGCTGTATTTGGCTTTAGTTAACATCCAGATACCGCCACTCGAGATAAGCTAACTGGCTCGTGTGGGGGCTGGCTACATCCTGAAGCGGAATCAATTGTCACAAAGGATTCGGCAAGCGCCGGCTGTTGTGTGTACACAACATTCCCGTACAGAAGAACGCAGTGGCTCATTCCATCCATTTTCCGCTAACGTCAATTGGGATACGTTGCAATGCGCGTCTTCTGCTTTTTACTCGCGGCGGTGTGTTTGCACCGTAGAAATACCGCAAACTAGCCGTAGCCGTCTCCAGCCAGTCGTCTTATCTGTGACTGGATGATGTCATTTCAAAGATCATCTGGTTTCGCCATCGCGATTATTTATGACTGTTAGCGTCGATCGGCGGAATTTGCGAATCGATACGGGTGATCATTGCTTCTGGAAAACAGATAAATCAAATTTGCTGCAAACTGTCAGCTGTTTTGTGTTTGGAACTTTGCTCCTTTTTTTTTTGCACTCAGACGCGAGCGAGCGGCTAAAAAAAGAAGCACACGCACACACGAAGCTACAGTGCAACATGAATTTGACAGCAGTGGCATCAGTGATTTCATTGTGCTTTTATTTCTGTTCTTATTTCCCTGTTTCATAGTATGGAGGCTGGCTCTACATTCTGCATTTATCAGATCTTTGTCGTCCCCCCCATTGTGTAGCTAATGATCATCTGCTGCTGTGTGGTGTGGCGTGGCCTCTGCCTGTTCTCTGCATTTAGCTGTATTGTGAACCCCTTCTTCATTTCCTCTTTCCATCCGAAGACGACATTGGTATTAAAAAAAACAAAGCACCCCCTCCCCCTCTCCTATTCCTCCTCCTCCTCCCTTCAAGATGTATTCCAACCATGTCAAGCCGACTAAAAAAAAAACAAAAAAAAAAACAAAAAAAAAAACAAAAAAAAAACATAGCTAACATCTTAGAGCAGAGCACCTTTTTGTCTTTTGTTTCTGTCAAATTTTTGCTGTAGCACCCGAGTGGACATGTAGCTCCTTTTTTTAATGGAATGTCATTGTGTACCTCCCATCCAGTCTTTTGATAGACAACATGCTGTAAATTCCTGTCAAGTGGATACATTTTTGCATGATCTCCAAAACGGCTGCACTCGCATCGTTGAACACCAGAATTCGGCTCATCCTCCTTTCTCTTCACTCAAGGTGCAGTGTACAGGTTCTCATGTGACAATTTGGATGGCGAAATCAGCGTTTCGCTGTGCGGCGGAACCTCCAAAGTCCAACACGAGCCCTTCAATGACTGGGTGTTATTATTTCTTAACACTTTTTATATTATTAGAAAAATTATTCAGATTTATTCCAAGGTCAAACTATCACCATCATAATAGTAGCGGTGGTAAAGTCCTCACTAATATTTGTTTGAGAGGCATTTTAAGCCGTTACATAAAAACAATCGAATGAAGAACAGGAAGATCAGCAGCAATTGACCTTTATTAACTTTACAGGCAGTGTTTTAAGTAATGTTTTAACATTTGTAGTGGCCATACAGTGGACTGCATTTTATTAGTGGGAATATGTTCCTGACCCAAAAAGGTACAATAAAGAGATACGAAATAAGCAACGTTTTTGAAAGTATTCACCCCACGACACTTAGAAACACATTCAAACTTATTTTTTCACTGCCAGTTGAAGTTTACTGTAAACCTGCCGCAAAATACAAGCGAATCAAACATTGTATTTAAACACCAAAATGTTCAACCAAACCCTACAAACGAATCCAATGAAAATCTAGTAACTCAGATATAATGTGAAACTTTTGAGATGGGCTACTGAAAATGAGCATGGATGTTCGGCTAACTATAAACAACTGCTGCTTTAACGAAGGTAGCAGCGACATTTACAAACAAAGCAGATGTATGTCGTCTCTGCTCTGTTGAAATGACAATCATTCAAACTTGCTCATATAAACGATTGCTTAAAAATCGCGTATATGCACGTACGGTATTAAGGTAGTCAGTTGTTGCACGGCAAAAAAACGCGTGCACCTCATACAACATTATGTGGTGGAAAACCAAAAAAGAGGAACGTGATGGTTTGAAATTTTGAGTTCTATTGTCAAAGGCATTTAGTTTGGATTCCAAATGAGACCACTTTTGCGGTGCTGGACTTGGGAGTTTCTGCGGGAAATGAATAGAGTGAAGGTACACTGCACCTGCACACGACAACCTGCCATAACTGTCTCCATTTTGTGTAGTAAAAAAAAAAAAAAAAAGAACAACAAATCTTTTGAATCACACTGAATTGTTCGGGGCTGCTTGCCCTCCCTCTCCTTTTTAACAGGCTCCAAAAAATATCAAGTGGCATATACAGTGGTGCCTCAAAAGTTGAACGATCTCCGTCAGGTAGCTTTTGATTTGTTTAGAAGTGAAAGCAACATTTCCCGTTTTGAAATGAATTTGCACTGGTTTGTTCCCGGGTACTAGTGTTGCCTTTGTAGACAGCTGAGTTACCGTAATCAAATTAAAAACTAAGTACGGCGGTTAGTGAGTGAGCCTTCTTGTGTTGCGTACGTGGAACCATGAAAAATCATGTCGTTAAACGACGCCAACATTTTTTCGCGTCGTTTTTTAAAATCAATGTACAGGCAATGTTTTGAATAACATTTGAACGAGAGTTCCACTAGTTTTGTATTTTTTACTATAGTTTTTAATTTTCTAAATTCAGTTAGTTTTAATGAGTTGTTAAACCAGGTTTGTTAGTTTTTATTTTATATTGGGGAAAAATATTTTGTTTGATTTTAGTTTTTATGAATTTTAGTATTAGCCGTAGTAACTTTTTTATTAATGTGAAGGATTTTTTGGGTGCAAGATTAGACAAAAAAAAAAAAAAAAAGAACAACAAATCTTTTGAATCACACTGAATTGTTCGGGGCTGCTTGCCCTCCCTCTCCTTTTTAACAGGCTCCAAAAAATATCAAGTGGCGTATACAGTGGTGCCTCAAAAGTTGAACGATCTCCGTCAGGTAGCTTTTGATTTGTTTAGAAGTGAAAGCAACATTTCCCGTTTTGAAATGAATTTGCACTGGTTTGTTCCCGGGTACTAGTGTTGCCTTTGTAGACAGCTGAGTTACCGTAATCAAATTAAAAACTAAGTACGGCGGTTAGTGAGTGAGCCTTCTTGTGTTGCGTACGTGGAACCATGAAAAATCATGTCGTTAAACGACGCCAACATTTTTTCGCGTCGTTTTTTAAAATCAATGTACAGGCAATGTTTTGAATAACATTTGAACGAGAGTTCCACTAGTTTTGTATTTTTTACTATAGTTTTTAATTTTCTAAATTCAGTTAGTTTTAATGAGTTGTTAAACCAGGTTTGTTAGTTTTTATTTTATATTGGGGAAAAATATTTTGTTTGATTTTAGTTTTTATGAATTTTAGTATTAGCCGTAGTAACTTTTTTATTAATGTGAAGGATTTTTTGGGTGCAAGATTAGACTAAGTATTATCGAATAAAGGAATGTAAACGAAAATTCTCAAACGACGATTTTGACTTTCATTCTTCTACGGATCTACTGAAATGAATACATTTAAAATGAACCCTGAAAGCACATTTATGATATTAATCGACAATGATGGAAACCAAGGACTATTTATTAATTATTTGCTCTATTTTTAGTTAGATTTAATGAGTTTTATAAATGTAAGATCTAATTTCAGTCCGTTTTTGTTCATTTTGTTCAAAGAAATGTCGCTAACGACTGCTGAGAGTTAATTCTACGTTTGTTTGAATTAAAATTAAACCACTAATGCAAAAACATTCAAACTTAACACACACTAGTTAGCGTGACGTTGTCTTACCTCAGTGCAACGTCTTGTTGAGCAGCACAAACAGATGGACTCGAATGCACAACTGCACTCACAGAATATCTTGGTTGAGAAATAAAAGGGCTTTGCGAAGGAAATGGGAACAAAAACAGTCAAAATAAAGTCAATCGAAGTCTCTTTGAAGCGAATTCAATGGTGTATATTTCAATGCTTGAATGTTTTAACAACCCCCAAAATTCAATTTCATCTAACAAAAGTCCACTAGGTTCATGCTAGATAGACGGAGTAAATTTTATAAATTAGCATTTGTGTGAGGGAAGCATGGGAACACAAAAACGAGTAATGTGATGACGACTGCCGATCATGTCCAACTCTGAGGACACCGAAAAGCTCGCTAATGCAGGACAAAAAGTACTTGGAGACCGTAAGAGTCTTTTCTGTATCAAACGAGTGCAATAAAAAGCCACAAGTGGCCAACGGAAAAGGCAGAAGGCACGCACTGTAAAAAAAAAAAAAAAATCTAGTGGGGTGCTCTTGAAACCGTTTCAAATTCATAGGACATTCGAAGAACATTTTTTTCCTGAAACGCTCCCAATTTTTGAGCTTTAACGCAGCGTTTTGACTTTGGAGGTTCCACTGTATCAGCAGGTCAAACAAGCTCACTGGTGGTTCATCACTTTCTAAAAATTCCCCCCCTCCACCTCCCCCCCTCACCCACTAACTAACATTAAGCCAAAATGCTATCCATTTCACAGGGATGCCTATATTTTCCTGCACTGCTAAAAGAGATTCTCTATTAGTAAATAACGTCTCTATTGTTTGGTTGTGGTCTCTCTTGATAGTACTTTTTTCAATGCATGGTCACATTTTATGATTCATATTTTTGTTATGTTTTTTTTTTGTTTTTGGTTTGACTCTACATTGACCTGTGAGAATCCAATGTAATCTTTCTGTAGTAAAGATGTTTACCCTGCTGTACTTGAATCATGTGCTGTAGCTCATTGGATGCTGCTTTTGTTCCTTTATTTAACCCTATACGGAGCATGGTGGGCCTTGCCTTCAGTCTATGTGGTTTATTTTTTTGGTTGCATGGATTTTTATACTATTACTACATCCCAAAAAAAAAAAACGACAGAGAAAGAAAAACACAGTTTACTAATATTTTTCAATAAAGAATCTAGTGTTTTTCCTAACCTTCAGTGTGCTTCTTGCTGATTTCCATTTATTGTCCTCCCTGTCCCACCTCCCTTCACCCTCACCCACCTCCTCCCCCCGCTGTGACAAAAGATAGATGATTCTCCACGCTTCCTCCATCACAGCGCCCGTTCCAGCCGATCTGCTATCATTCGTGGTGGCCGTCACCCCCGCCCTCCCTAAAACGCCCTCTGTGCCCCCATCCTTTTTGAACTTGACCTTGCAAGGTCACTACCTGTCTGTCGCCGGCCCTGCTCTAACCCGTTTTGTTTTTTTCCCCTCGCCTCGTTTCGGAAAATGCAATGCAGGCTAGCCATTTTGACATAGAAATACAAAACACTTTATTTATTTATTTTTTTGTCTTTGGGGAAACGTTAAGCTCTGCCAAATGGATGTCACTAATAATGTTCTTACAATTTAAAAAAAAAAGCCTTTCTAAACACATGTGGGATACATTTAAAATATGCGGCTGCCACAAGGAAGCCTGCCGTGTCTCGACTGTCTGCGTACGCCGCTTGCCAAATAGTTGTGGTCGGGACAAGTTAATATTCGAAGAAAAAAAAAACCAAGCTATTTCTAAGAAGCGGAATGTTTTGGAGCAAGCACAAAGAGGGCTAAACTAAATACTACATTTTGACAATGCATGACTAAAGTGACCATTAACATTGAATTACAGTAGAACCAACCCAATCTGTTCCGCAGGATGATCAATTCCTGATTTGTGTGGATTTCAAAGCCATTTTTTCCCCCCATAGGAAACAATGGAAATGATGAGTTCAACTGGTGTCAACCTTTAACGGTCATACCAGTGTTAAAAGAACCCGAAGCCGTCATATCAGTAAAATGCGTACTCACCTTTTGATGATCAACATCAAGCTGCGTTCTTTCACAATATCACATGCCATTTTTTTTCTTCAATGGAATTTATTCTCAGCCATTTCCTTCAAAAAAAAAAAAAAACCTCTTATTTGGGGATTTGTCTGTTGTTTTTTTTTCTATAATTCCTATAATGGCACAAAGCATGAAGTAATAGAAAAGCGGTGATGCCTTTTGAATGTAAGATATCGGTATGTAGAAAGGGGTTTAAATCAAGCTGGAGTTGTGCGTAGGTATTACAGAGAGGCCTGTCTGTATGAACATTTTTTTCGAAATAAATAACCTGGAAGGTATATGTTAGGAGAAATATAAAACTGTAGTGAGTTAAAAAAAATAAAAATAAATCCACCATAAATGAGCAACTAATACAGCGGTACTCTGAGATACAAGTTTAATTAATTCCTTGAATGTCTCATAACATTTTTATAACGTGTTTTTAAAAAGAAATCTAGCACTCTTTAATTCTGTGCTTTTGAATAAATGCCTAAATTACACAATAGAATGTAAAGAATGAAGCTTTTTTTTTTTTGCTTCAATTCAATGGAGATGGTACTGCTCACCGGCGTGCATGCCTTGCCCACCTGTGGGCAGTATAATACAGAGATAAGATAAGATAAGAAAACCTTTATTAGTCTCGCAGTGGAGAAATTATGCATCTACAGTAGATGTAGACTGTCAAAACACATCAGAAACCTGTAGAAACACTTGTTCTACGCAGAGGATAAAGAATATATTCCTGTGACTTGTGTTGTTTTATCAGTCTACGTGTGTTGCTCCTCATTTGTGTTCGTATAGTCCTCCTGTCTCGCTATTCTGGCGATAGGAGATGATAAAAGAAGCCCCTAGACGCGGCACCATATTTATTTCTGTAAACACTGCGCCACATGACGTCGGAATTTATTCTCAGCCATTTCCTTCAAAAAAAAAACAACTCTTATTTGGGGATTTGTGTGGTTTTTTTTTTCTATAATCCCTATAATGGCACAAAGCATGAAGTAATGGAAAAGCAGTGATGCCTTTTGAATGTAAGATATCGGTATGTTGAAAGGGGTTTAAATCAAGCTGGAGTTGTGCGTAGGTATTACAGAGAGGCCTGTCTGTATGAACATTTTTTTCGAAATAAATAACCTGGAAGGTATATGTTAGGAGAAATATAAAACTGTAGTGAGTTAAAAAAAATAAAAATAAATCCACCATAAATGAGCAACTAATACAGCGGTACTCTGAGATACAAGTTTAATTAATTCCTTGAATGTCTCATAACATTTTTATAACGTGTTTTTAAAAAGAAATCTAGCACTCTTTAATTCTGTGCTTTAGAATAAATGCCGAAATTACACAATAGAATGTAAAGAATGAAGCTTTTTTTTTGCTTCAATTCAATGGAGATGGTACTGCTCACTGGCGTGCATGCCTTGCCCACCTGTGGGCAGTATAATACAGAGATATGCATCTACAGTAGATGTAGACCCTCAAAACACATCAGTAACCTGTAGAAACACTTGTTCTACGCAGAGGATAAAGAATATATTCCTGTGACTTGTGTTGTTTTATCAGTCTACGTGTGTTGCTCCTCATTTGTGTTCGTATAGTCCTCCCGTCTCGCCCCCTAGACGAGGGACCATAATTATTTCCGTAAACACTGCGCCACATGACGTCTTTTTTTTTTAGGTCCATGTCACTCGAAGTCATGCTTTGTGCGCATGCGTGTTATGTCACGGACCCGTTGAATTCACTTGCAAGTTTGTTTTTGTAATGTTTTCACATTACTTAAAAAGATTATATCGAACAAAAATCCGAATTGGGCATCATCCCATGCAGTGTGAATGTAGCCTAAAATACACATCATGTAATTAGTTTTGTGTTTAATTAGACAGCCCAAAGCCTGAATTGTTCACGGTCTGCCAAATTGCTTCTTCTTGTGAAATGAGTTGAGTTCATTGCCATCACACTGTGCTCATATGCAATTTTTTTTTTTGCCTGCAAGTCAAAGCAAAAAAATTGGGCAAATGACTGCCTGTATGTAAAAAAAAAAACCCTCTGAAATCGGGTCATTTGTATCTCAAGGCACCACTGTATAGGTCATTCTAAGGAGTCACACTCACATTTTTTTGGGGGGTTGCATTTGGGTTGCTGTTCATGGGCATTTCATCTCTTGTCATGTTTTTGACTTAGCCATACTGTACGAAGCAGCCAGGCCAGGGCCATGTGCACACTTAGTTCCATGGTAGCTTCGTCCGCTTCCAAGAACAGGAAAGGATCCCGAAAATGGCGGCTCACGTATTTTCGTGACGGAGCACTTTCGGTGTTTGGTTTCGGTGACACTTGTGCTATCCCATCATTGTCCCACCCTCACAGAAGCATTTTTCTCATCGTAGGTACGAGGTAGGGCTTCATGAACATGATGTCACACACGCACACACACACACACGTACAATTACATATACATGCAGTGACAGCATATTTCACCCAGAATTAATTCCCGCTCATTTTATGGTGTTGGGGTGCCTGACGTATTCTGCTTCTCCCCCCTCACTCCGCCCCCAGGATCCCATTTCACCCGGCAACAGCAGCAGCACAGCCATGCTACCTCTTGCCGCCACTTCCAGCTAGGCCCCCAGGCCCCGCTGCCCATGGACTTCCCCATGCCCCACCCGGGCCAGCCGCAGTCGGGCATCAACCCCCACATGGCCCCGCCTGGCCACCAGCACGGACCCCCGCTACACCACCCGCCCCTCAACCCCATGCCCGCGCCCCAGTTCCAGGACATCCCCGCCCCTCCCTTCCTACCTCAGGCATTACACCAGCAATACCTCCTCCAGCAGCAAATCCTCGAGGCCCAGCATCGACACATCCTGCCACCCAACAGGTACCATTCAAAGCCACAAAGACCCCGGACCACTATATATATATGTGTGTGTGTGTGTGTATCTCTTACTTGAAGTCAATCTCAAACCTGTCCTTATTTGTGTCAGTAGACGCACATCAGAGAGGGTTCCTCACCAGCCCCACAGACTGCGTCCCGGCTTCGAGTTTGCCCCACCTCTGCACGTTCCGCCCCAGCCGGTGGTGCAGCAGCCCCGCTACCTGGCCGAGGGCACAGACTGGTAGGGAGCGTATACTTAAACCACGCCTGTACGCAAGCAGCCCTTGTAAAAGTCCACTAAAGTGCTCTTTTGTTTTCAGGTAGCAAAAGCTGTTTTTCTTTTGTCGTAAATAGGGGCTATTTGAACATGGTTGCGGTTGAGTTTCATTTCAGGAAACGAGGACGAAGATAAAGTTCCTTTAAGACTAAAATGAGCAGTCAACAGCACGCACCTTGTGGGGGTTGTAACATTAATAGGTAGTAATGAGTTTTTCTGAGGTTTAACCTGGAGGCATAAAACGTTAGCAGCGAAATTTACAATTGACACACTTAAATTGCTGCAGTTTCAGCTTTTATGGCCTCATTCGAGTCAGTTATGAGTTGGCGAACCTAACATGGGTCTGTTTGTCATGTGGGAAAAAGGCCATAGATTAAAAAAAAAAAAAAAACAGTGGCATAAATATCAATGGTGCAACAGGTGCGATGCGTCCCAAACCATCAATTTATTAATTACCTGAACCGCTTATCCTGACCAGGGTGGCGGGCACGCTGTCCAGAATTCCCACAGACCCCCGATTTTTTTTTTTTAAATAGAATAGCTCGGGGCGTAAATAGAATAACTGAGTGGCTGGTATTGGAGGAGGGAATGATTATTTGTCCAATCACCTGTCTGTCACGATGCGTCTCGAATCTCTCAGTGACGTGACGTGGAGCCTGCAAAAAAAAAAAAAAAAAGAGCAAAATACTGTACGACATATTACCAGAGTCGGATTAGTGCCTGTGAAACGCCTTTGGCCTTTTCCCCTTTTCTGAAGAAGCTCTCCCTTTTTTTTCAAAATTCATTTTCGTTAGCTTGCCGCACAGGCAGATGCAGTTATATTTGTTTAGTCTCCCCGCGGCACAGTGCTGGGGGAGTGGAGGGACAGTGTGACAGCACTAGTTCAAGTGTGAAACAGGCACACTCAACACACGAGCATCACCACCTGCTGTTGTTGCTGCTGGTAAGAATGTGCACAACGGAAACCGACGAGCACGTTTTCAATATTCATTCAAAGCTCAAGCAACTTCGAATTAGAAAGGTAGCATTCTAAATATTTCGCAATCAGCAGCTATGCAGATAGACGACTGCTCTATCATATAAATATGGACAAAATACTGTATGTCCACAGGTGCAAAACACATGCTCTTAATATGTTTCATATTTAACAATGCATTTTCGAGGACATGTATAAAAGATCCTCTAACACAGGGGTGTCAAACTAATTTTTGTCACGGGCCACATTGTAGTGAGCGTTTCCTTTGGAGGGCCGTTATGACTGTGAAAACATAAAAAGAAGTGTAGAATAATGGTTCATTCACCGATGGTTTAAGGAGGCGTTTGCGCACAAGAAAATGCTTACGATATCTCGCCTATATATTACATATGAGAAGTTGAAATTTTTGTACAGATTTTAGCAATCATCGTAGAAGTTGACATGCTTGATTTGCTTTCGTGGGCCACATAAAATGATGTGCCGGGCCAGATCTGGCCCCCGGGCCTTGAGTTTGACACCTGTGACACAAAGTGTTTGGAGCAAATAACAACCACATGCTTTAAAATGATGTGCCGGGCCAGATCTGGCCCCCGGGCCTTGAGTTTGACACCTGTGGCAAAGTGTTTGGAGCAAATAACAACCACATGCTCTATTTTTCTTCGCGGTGCAAAGAGCTCTCTTGCATTAAAAAAATATGATTCAAGGAGGGCACAAAACTATGCAAAAATATTAGGTCTACTCACGTTGTTCTCGATCTAGTGTTTAAAAAAATTAATTCATTTCAATTGATTTTATAAATCGATAAGTGAAGGCACCACTGTCAGGAAAATATCACCATGGATTGAAAAAAAAAATCATAATTTTGTTTTTCTCTGCCCCAGGGATCTAAGTGTGGACGCAGGCCTGCCGCCACACCAATACCACATCCACCCACTGCCGCAGCACTATCAGCACTACCTGACATCTCCCAGGATGCACCACTTCCCCAGGAACAACGCCTCAACGCAAGTGGTGAGTCGCAATCACGTCCGGATCGATTCATCGTCTGGATACGCGGCGAGCCTCAGGGACCGACGCCGTCATCTTCTCTCCGTCCCTCTTCCAGGTTGTTCACGAGATCCGGAACTATCCGTACCCTCAGCTGCACCTGCTGGCGCTGCAGAGTCTCAACCCTTCGCGGCACGCGTCTGCCGTCAGGGAGAGCTATGAGGTGGGTGCTCGATTAAAACGATTGATTCATTTAAGTTTTGACAGGATAAAATTTAGGGCCTTTTTTTGGTCATTCATGCAGTTCTGTGAAAAGCAAGCGGCATACCTTTCAATAAACGTCTGATGCCCGATGAGGCAGCAAGCCAGTTGGGCCTGAAATGCTTGCATTTTCTGAAGCGTGCAGCCACGTGACGAAATCCCGAACAATTACTGTTCGCGTTACACTTTGTTGGAGCCACATTAGCATTCTGTTAGCCTGCTGCCTGTCTAGGCAGCAAACCAGTTGGCACGGAATTTCTAGCACCCTCTACTATTCATGAAATCACCTCTTTTGCCGCCATTATTTTCTGATGTAACAATGTAACCTCGGTTGAAAGCCCTTTTCCCTTCTGTTTGGGATATCTCACACAGCCCGTTCAGGCATCAAATTAGTCGTGTCTGAATTTCTCGCACCCTCTTTTGGTGGCTGCCAAGTTGTAAAGTCCGTACTTCTTCCACGAATTCACAACCTAACAATTATTATTCAAACAAAACCTTGTTAGAACTATTTTATGTTTTTTTTTTTTGAACATTTCTCCCGCGGCCTGTTTAGGCAACAAACCAAAACGGGAATTTCTTACACCTTGTGCTGCTTACTGCAAAAGTAGTTAAAACCTTCATCCAGTCAATGTTTGACATGTTTAGAACCACTTTTACAACAACAAATAAACCGTTTTTATTTTCTTGCTGCGCCTTATTTATTCTGTTTTTGTTTGTTTGTTTTTTTTTCAACAGGAACTTTTGCAGCTGGAGGACCGACTGGGCAGCGTGAACCGCGGCGCAGTCCAGACGACCATCGAGAGATTTACTTTCCCCCACAAGTACAAGAAGGTAAGCCTACATACAGTCTTGGATGTGAGTTCCACGCGCAAACTCGTTTTCCGGCAGCTGATGAGGTGAGACCAGCGTGCAGAGTGCAGACTGCTCCATATCACCGTGAGGGATGACTCATTCCGGTGAATTTGAATAAGCGCATATAGCCAACGTGACCTAAATACTAGGTAAAGAGTGTCACGCCATTTGGCTCATCATTGAGTCTTTTTACACGCCCCCCCCCACCCTCTCCTCCTTCAAAGCACGCTTAGCTCAGTCATGGCATGAGCTAAGACACGCACTCACGCGCACGCACATACACACTGAGCTCATAAAAAGTTTGTGTTGGGCTTGCAGAGATTCCCCCAGGACCTGAAGATGTGTCTGGACGACGAGGAACTGGACACGGACGAGAAGTGCACCATCTGTCTGTCCATGCTGGAGGATGGAGAGGATGTCAGGTACGAGCACATTAACACACTTACATGCACAGTTTGCACCGTTTGTCCGGAGGTAGACACACCAGAGCGGTATTCTGAAAAATATTTTTCCGTAGTTATAATTCACCTTCCAACATTTTTTTTGTTGCTTTTTGCGGAAAATTGGAATAGATTAATGGCATTTCCATTCATTTCAATGGGGAAAGATGATGTGAGAGCTGACTGTTTTGAGGTTCACTAAAATTGTGTCGTGTGTGTGTGTGTGTGTGTGTGTGTGTGTGTGTGTGTGTGTGTGTGTGTGTGTGTGTGTGTGTGTGTGTGTGTGTGCGCGCGCGCGCGTGCGCGTTTAGGAGATTGCCCTGCATGCACCTGTTTCACCAGGCGTGCGTGGACCAATGGCTGGCGACCAGCCGGAAGTGCCCCATCTGCAGAGTGGACATTGAAACCCAGCTCAACCCTGACAGTTGATAGCTGCTGCACAGCACGCAGCCTCACATCCCACAATCCTCCACTCTCTCCCCTTGAGGGGGAGTCGCTGGAGGTGGGCCTCCTCGCTCCCCCCTCTTTTAGTGGGAGGGGCCAAGGGTAGGATATTAACAAAGCACATTCAGACAGATGCACGCACGCACACACACACACACACACACACACACACACTCCGACTCATGCAGAACACAAGCTGGAATGCGGTGGACACATTTAAAAAAACTGGGCTGACTTAGTGGATGTACGTACAAGAAAAGGGCGGGAGCGGCTATAGACGGACGTGCTGAGTCATGCGGTGCGCGACCTCCCCCCCCGCCCCCTCCCCACAGACACAAACACACACATGCACACACACGAACACACACGAGCACATCTGTATAGAACATTATACAAAAGCATGATTGGTGTGTAGCCCGATGCTTGTGGTGTGCTATAGTACTGATTGAGTATTTACTGAGTAACAGTGTTGTGTAGCAACTTGAGAGTCTGTGTGACAGATAGCCCAAGGTTAGAAAACCAGGCGGGGGAGGCTCAAAGCGTGCGCTGTATGTACTAAGGCCAAAAAATAGCGGACAACCCCTGCCCCCTTGTTTGTTGTGTTTAGGTGAAAATCTGTCATATAGCAAGTCCATATAAAAATTTTTTTTGTTTTGTTTTTAGTTTTAACCCTACAACATTCGTCTCTGTTGTTGTCAAGAAATGGAACAAAATGAGGTATAACTTCACCTTAAGCAGTTGATCATTATGATGCCCATCAAATTTTTTTGTAGTCAGCTTCAACAAACAAACCATATGAGATCATCTCATGAAAGTCTGCTAGCTTAGTGCTAACATAACAACGAAAAACGCCATATGTGTGCTGACTGGAATTAGCAAAGATGTGACAGTAACAACTGCTTCTTTAACATCATGCATACGAAGCAAACGACAACAATAATCACCGATGTATATCCTCTCTGCTCTAAAACAACAATTATTATTGACGCTTGCATCCGTTAGGGACCTTCTCTGCCTCTTCTTCTTGCCACTGAAGGCGTGCAACTCTAAATTCGGACTTGACTAAAAACCTACAACACGTTAGCTTCAAAATTGTTGCTTTATAGGGAAGGCGGGACATGAACGATGAACCACGATATAGTGGCTTGGGGGGGGGGGGGGGCACTGTTGACGCCATCCACGCTAACACAGCTAACTGCAGGCATGGCTTCCAGGGACTTGTGTGTTGTGTCATAGCGGGCGGTGGTGGGCCTCCATCATCAGGTATGCATGCCTGTGTGCAAGGTTTTGTGAGCTGTGTCGTCGTGCTCATCGTGGTCATAGTGGTGCAAAGTAGATGCAGTGACCCCCCCCCCGCCCCCCTCCGTGTATTCCTCATCCAATCCTCTTCGACACGTGCGCACTCAGATCTTGACCTCGACCCCCCCCCACCCCACCCCCACTATGGGGGACGTGTGTGACAGCATCGCCGCCATCTTGCCTCAAGATGAGTGACATTTCTCTGAACCTTATTGCCTACCGAACAAGCACATGTGACTTTTTGGATGAGGATTATTTTTTTTTGTCATCATTTTAATTCCCATTTCCGTCTCAGTTGCGGCCACTCACATGCAAGTGGTGTTACAGGGCAAAACAAAACGTATAGTACACTAGTTTGCCTGCGTGTGTTTGAACGCTCACTTCCGTTGCGTTACATTGTAATGGCCTGTGTGTGTGTGTGTGTGTGTGTGTGTGTGTGTGTGTGTGTGTGTGTGTGTGTGTGTGTGTGTGTGAATTAGACACATGTAGTCTTGGGGTGAAAGGGATTAAAAGCCATCCATTTTGAAAAAAAAAATCAACAACAACAACCAAACAATTGTTCTTAACATTGTCTTCTCATATGATTCAATAGTCATTTCCGTTTGTTAGTTTTTTTTGGTTTGTGTAGTTTTTTTTTTTTTTTTTTTTTAAGTTGACATGCCAATTTGGACGTGGCCACGAATACACCTGGTCCGTGTCCGTGTTAACCACAGTGAAGAGAAATAGCTGCAATTCTGCAAAAAAGATAATATGTATTTATTGTAATGTAGCTTGTGTTTTTTTGTAAATGTGCACTACCGTATGGAGTTGTTTGTTTGTTTGTTTGTTTGGCGTGTGTGGAGTTTCTTCTTGTCTTAGGAGTTTGTGTTTTGGTTGGATTCCAAATATTTTTATGCTTCCCTGTGCGTTCTTTACCAAGAGGTGATAGGGCCACGCTGGAATGACAAGGAGACAAAAAAAATGTGAATTAAGAGTGGGTGGAAAAAAGTTCCCTATTCTTCATTCGGTTCAAATTACAATTTATTTTGCAATATTAGAGCTTTTTTTCCTCATTCAATCAAGATTTTTTTTTGTAGTCTTGCGGGTGTCATGCAGATTAAAGAGAAGCCATCGGCATTTGACAGTTTAGAATTTGCAGTTTTTGAAATCATTCTCTTCCCCGAAGTTGACATTGGAGTCGAGGTGCAAAATTGCTCCCCGGCAAGAAGTTCAGCCGTCACATTGCTCCAATGTGCGGGTCAAATTAAGGCTATACGTGGAAAGATTCTCGAAACAAGATCTGTTTTTGGCAAGCCATGCAGAGGAAGGCCTGTTATTATCACCACTGATGAAAACACTGAACACCTTTTGGTTTGTCGAGAACAGAGCCTGTTTCAAGAAACATACCACGAACAGTAGAAATTGTACTCCATGTTAGAAGAGTGTGATGGCCAGAAATGTTTCCAACTGGTGCTACGGTGCAGTCTGGGACAGAAAAAAAAATCTTGCCAGATGGCAATTTTGCAACTCTTCCCTAATGTCTATTGGCAAGCCATTAGCAAGAGAACGATCCATTTATCCGTCCATTTTCCAATCGGCTTCTCCTCACGAGGGGCGCGGGGCGTGCTGGAGCCTATCCCAGCTGTGGCGGGGTACACGCTGAACTGGTTGCCCATGGTTATGTTGACAAAAATTGGAAAAACCAAAGCTGTCAAATACGTGATGGTTTATGTCTTTCTGATAAATACTCAAAACAAAATTTAGCGGCTTTTGGGATACGCTACATTTCTTTTTTTGTAATCTGGACTGTCTGTGAATTCCATGTTGTGGTATAACTTTATTTTTGAAAATGTGGGGGGAAAAAAAAACAAAATCTGGTCATCTAACTTTTTCCACCCCAATCTTCAAAATGCTGACTTTATTCTTGGAATTTGAGTTGTTTTTTTTTTTCTAGTCAGCCTCGCGCTAATACTGCTTGGTCTTTATTGGAGAATAACTTGATTGTGTTATTCCCCCCGCTCTCATGTGAGACCTCCACCCACCTCCCAAAAAAAAAAAAAAAAAGTGCTGAAATAGGTGGAGGTTCTGCTAGTTCACATAGAATGCTGTGATTTAAAGATGCCTTAAGTATTTAACAATCATTATTTATTACTAACTGTAGCTAGCTAGCTATTGTGGTGGAATATTTCATGTCTCATAACTTTGCAATTGAATGGATATATTTATTTAAAATAAGACAAAAAAATATGACAAAAAAAAGAATACCTCATTATGCATTGGGTAGGTGGGGATGCTTCTGCATGCAGTGTGTGATTATGATTTTATTATTATTATTATTATTATTATTATTATTATTATTATCCCCCCTCGCCCCAAAAAAAACAAAGAACCATCTTACACTTTTGAAGCCAGCATGGTGCTGTTGATCGAGATGACATTCCCTTTAGCTTCCCTGCTTTTGATCGGAGACACGTTTTGTCTTAGTGATCGCGCTTTTTGCCATACGATGCTGCTTCGTAATTAATCGTTTTTTTTTTGTTTGTTTGTTTTGTTGTTTTTTTTTTTTTTTTTTACTCCACATCGCTG